AAATGGCTACGGAGGGAGGATATTGAGGAGCAGGAAAAGGAGGAGGAGGAGAAGAGCTATCAGGAGGAGGAGGAGGAGGAGGCGGAGGGCGGATCTGAGGAAGATGAGGTGGAGGAGGTGGAGGCAGCAAATGAGGATGCACGACGAGGAAGCGGAGGGGGATGCGACAGTCAAGCACGATGAGGACGAAGGCGAGGAGGCCGAAGACATGAACCGTCCTGGACCAAGCACGGTGCGCCGACACGGGGAACCGGCGGCCACGCACGGCAGTGCAGGGCTCCTCCTCCTCCTCCTCCTCCTCCTCCTCCTCCTCTCTCTCCCTCCTCCTCCTCCTCCTCCTGCCTCCTCCTCCTCCTCCTCCTCCTCCTCTTCCTCCTCCTCCTCCTGCCTCCTCCTCCTCCTCCTCTTCCTCCTCCTCCTGCCCTGCCTCTCCTCTCCTAGCCCACGGGTGGCTCAGCGCCGCGGCCGTTTCCGTTGCCACTCGCGCGGCCCGCGCGCTCAGCCCCCAGCCACTTGCCCTCTGCGGGCACCGGTGCTCTCGTGCTGCCGCAGCCGCGTCGCCCGATCCGTGCGACCCGGGCAACTCTCCGTCGCTCTCGCGCTCGGCGCGTGGCGGCACGGCACGCTCGAGCCGCAGCGTGCGAGCTGTCCGGGCTGCTCCGCGGCGACGGCCAAGCGCTGTCTCCCGGACCCGCTGCTCCCGCCCTTCTTCCTGCTGCTGGGCGGTGGGCGGCTCCGGGATGCTGGATAGTGCCGGCGGCTTTCGCTTTCGAGGTCGGCGTGGAGGCCAAAGCCGCTGTGCTCGTGGATGGCGTGGGCGCGGGCTGGCGTGCCGCCATGCGGGCCGTCGAAGTCGGCGCACAAGCTCGCGATGGTCCTCGAACAGGTGGTGGTGCTCATGGCGTCGCTCACGATCATGCCGCTGACGGTGAACATGTTCGTGGACCTTGGCTGGACGATCACCCGTGCCTTGCCGCTGGAGGTGCCCCTGGATCTCGTGTTCGGAGGCCGCCCCGCAGGACCGATGCCTCGACCCTGGCTGCCGCTGCCGGGCTTCGCGATCGCCCTCCTCATCGTCCACCTGTGGCAACGCGCCTTCCTGATTCTGGTCGGGCGAAAGGGGGGGATAGCAAAGGGGGGGTTTGAGAATCAGCTCACGTAGCTGATTTTCCCGGCGCCTCCCGGCGCCGGAAGCGGCTATGTATCGAGGAATGGGCCCCTCGGTGAGGCCGAAACCAGCTGCATGCAGCAAATTTCGTAACCCCCCCTTTCCCAATCCCCCCCTTCCCCCCGGCCCGAATGTGGCGCCACTGGAGCAGCCGCGATGCGAGCTCCCTCACCGGCGGAGGGTTGCTGGCCCTTCGAGCGGGGCGCCTTCGAGCAGAAGAGGCGCGCTCTGCTGCCCACCGCTCCGCCGCGGGCAACGGCACCGCTCCCGGCACTCCGCCTGGGGCACCAACGGCCTGGCCGCTGCATCGCATCTTGCCTGCGGGAGTCGGAACTGGACTGGGCGCTCCTAGGAAGGCACCAACTATACACCAACACTGATCCTGGCCAGGATCACCCTGGGCCCAGGATCGGTGTATACGCCCTCCTGTCTTGGGCAAGAAGGCATATACACCGATCCTGGGCCCAGCGTGATCCTGGGACAGGATCGGTGTTGGTGTATAGTTGGTGCCCTCCGAGCTCCCGCCGTCCATGGCAGTGGCACGCCTCTCCTGGGGGCTGCTACGCAGAGCGTCGCCAGGGCCATTAGCGAGATGATGACCGAGATCGACTTCTCCCCGCTGGTCGAGGAGGAAATCCGCTCTGGATCTGAGCTGGCTCTCAAACCCATCCTGGATGCCAACACTCAGAATATCGACATAATTGTTCAGCCGGCCCCCACGCTGATGAATCAGATTGATCCCAAGATGCCTGACATGATGGGTCTTAGCGTTCAGATGCAACAGTTTGAACCACCGAGGCTCAGCAAGGTCATGAACATGTTACTCTATTTCTCCTACACGGTCGAGGAGGAAATCAACTATGGCATTCAGCTGAGCGCCCGCCGTGTTGAGGTGAGTTAACGTCCAACGTCCTTGAAGCTAGATCGTCAAGTGCTCCGGCCTCTTGCCCACTCCATGTGGGCCTCTCGGTCTGCATAGCGTCCTCAGCGTCGTGCATACCCCCGGCAATGATGCCCTCTGGCATCCTTTCGCGCGGACGTCCGAAATCCGAAATCCGAAAACCTCTCCTCTCCGCGTCCTTCCGCTCATGCGTCGGTTCGTGCCGCATGCCCGCATCTCTCCTCCTCCTTCTCCTCTCCCTTCTTCCCCCTCCCCCCCCTCCTCCTCCCCCTCCTCCTTCTCGTCGTCGTCGTCCTCCTCCTCCTCATCCTCCCCCTCCTCCTCCTCCTCCTCCTTCTCTGGTGTAGTCATTAGGTGCTGGAACTGCCACCTTCGACTGTGCAACGTCCGAGAGGGCAAGCGGCCAAAACATCAAACTTTCGATCGTCAGGATGCTGATCGACTACCGTGTCTGCTGTTCACAACCCGATGGCTGAATATTATGGGGGTAGTTTCGGTGTGATCAATTGTTCTTCGGTGTCTTCCCAGGGAATGAGATGGAGAAGGTGCTGCTCTTTAACTATTTTGGTCACTGGTGGACAGTGGCCCGAGATGCAACTCTATGATGCTCGATCTCTGGCAGGAAGTTTGGACATAACTCGCGACCAAGACTGGAGAAACCAAATCCACCTGGGTCAGGAGCCGCCTGACCGCCAACCAGATCCGCGGGCTCCGAATTTCTCATGCTCTTGTTGCCAATGCTCTCGCTGATCTCTTCGCTGGGTTGGCTGCCGAATGGGGGGACTGTGGATTCAAAATTAACTAGTCAGCGCTGTTGTCATCACTGATTTCAGTTGCAGCCTTGCATTGAGTTGCATCCTAGCTATTAGTCGTCGTGTGTCGTTGATGTGTGGTCGTACTCGTGAGGATCAGCTAGCGCGTGAACAACACAAAGAAACAACTATACAATCCAGTGCCAACCAGAGGCGTGCTCGCCTGCTTGCTCCGGGCCATACTGTTGTGAGGACTGGAGTTTTTTTTGTTGCGTAAGTGTACTGTCTGCTCGAAGCATTTAGCTGCCTTGAAAAGTCTGTTGGTGAACGTTTTTTTAGTCGGCGTTTCGACATTGGGTAGAAGTGGGGGGGGAGAGGGGGGGGTCTGGCTCCGGACCTCTGCTTAGCGCGACTGTTTGCAGCAGTGGGTCCTACGAGGGGAGGCTCCACCTGCTCGAAGCAGGCGCCCAAAACAGCCAAGATCTACTCCAGGAGGGGGGGGGGAAGGGGGTGGGAGCGAGGGCCCACGCCGATTGGCAAGACAATGAATCAGAAAACGACGACCTGGATAAAAACGGGCCCGACGTTTCTCGTGGGGCCGCGGAACTGGGTCCTGTGGGCGGGGTTGGGTCGTCTGCTGGGAGCGTGCCGTGTACCCACCCTCAGAGCTGGAGGGGGCCATCATCCGAGCGCCAAATTTTGTGATCCCTCGGACGCCCTCATGGTGTGATTATCGAGGTGTGCTGCTTTGCTCCTCCTGTGGGACTTGCACTGGGATTTTCTGGATGACAACCCCTGTAGAACTTGCCGAAAGCTGCGCGCCGCGCCCCAGTCAAACAGGGAGGCAGAATATGAGCCGGCTGCACGGTGGACTCCCTCCAATATGAGATGCGATCCACAGGAGCCTGAACTGTGGTCTAGGGTCTGAGCTTTCACTAAGGTTCCTACCAAGATGAATTCCATGGATTCCTCTTCCTCCCTCTTCTCCTCCTCTCCCTATGCATCCTGCTTTATGTATCCCTCTCCTCTTCCCTTTGCTCCTCTTCCTTCTGCGCCTCCTCCTCCTCCTCTTCCATCTACCATTCCTCCTCCTCCTCCTCCGCTTCCGCCTTTACCTCCTTTTCCTTCTCTGCATCCTCTAAGATCCGACGTTGCGGAAAATGCTACATCGCGAGTGTTCAAGACCATAGCCCTGGACCACAGCTTCCTGCAACATTTATCGTGCCAAATCGAGCTTTGATATCACCGGGGATGACCATACGTCCTGAATTCAGTTCCTGGCGAGATTGGCGCAGAAGGATGGGCGGGATTGCCGCAGCGCTTCCCCATCCGCAACCATGTGCATCAAAGGCTCCACAGAGGGCCGTGCTAGCAGCACATTCCAGCGTTGTCTAAGAAATTACTCTGAAACAAAAACACCCTAAGAGCAGCAAAGGTCAAAAGGGAGTCGAGGAGCTGGAGGTCGGCCAGAGGAGATATGGGTGAGAGCACGGCCATGAATACCTTAGTGTTTTTTGTGCACAGGGTCGCGGCTACCACAAATGTAGGCAGCATAGAGGCGAGAATGCGATTCTAGAATCAATTTTGATGAAATCTCAGGCGAAACAAATGCCAAACCAGGCGGTCTTCCCCTGTCCTTCCCGTGGGACTCTCCTGCATGTTGTCCTTTTGTACCTTTCTTCGAACCCTCGACCGATGCCGCCGAGAACCGAAGGAGCAATTCGAAAATCTCGAACCTCGAACCCAAACTTCGGATGTCTTCTTGATTTGTTCAACACGGTGTCCCCGGAGCTCTGAGCCCACTGCCCGGGGACCGGCATCTTGACCCGGTTTATTGAAACCCTCCTTTGCGACAACACCCTCGAAACTCGAACCTCGATGCCCTCGAATCTCGAACATCTCGAATGCCATGAAGGGAATCAATGCTTCTGCTCACAGTTGAACAGGGACCGACCGTCCCTGCATTCCTGTAGTCCTACCACGGAAGGCTCTTTGAATAAGTATTGTTTGTATATCAAAAACAAGGCTATTACCCGATTGATGGAAACGAAACAGACCCAGCCAGAAATGTCCTAAGAAAGTTTCGTGCAAACAACACAAGGTTATCATGAGATCCTCTTGGTGGACCTACAGGCAGGCCAGGACGCTTCGCCACTGCTCGACACAAAGGGGTGGGGACCACACGGCCGCCCGCGCCACGGCGTCCAGCTCGGGCTCGGCCTCGGCCTCCTCGTCCGAGAGGCCGCCGCCGAGGTCGACGTCCTGGAAGTCCTGCTGCGCGTGGACCGCCGCGGGCCGCCGCGGCGGCGGCGGCGGCGGGAGGAGCAGGGACGTAAAAAAGAAGAAGAGGAGCAAGAGGATATCCTGAAAGCCCTGACGTAGATGTTTGTTTTCGCACCTGGCGTTTTGGCACTGTTTTGGGTCCCGGGGCCATCACGCAGATCGATCTGGTTCGAAAACTGCACCAGGTATGGGACTCCCAAGAACAGATGGATCTCCAAAGGCATGGTTTGGGCGCCGAAAAAGGGGCCACCCCCACCCGCAATGAGTGAGTCAGGTGCGCAATCTATCTCATATTGAAAAGCAGCGGTGCCCCTTTCCATCCTTCCCCCTTTCCTCCTCCTTGTCCTGCTCCTCCCCCCCACCCTCGGATCTGTTTGCTTATGTTTGCCGCAGGGGGGCAAGATTTGTCCGCCCTGGTCAGCGCCTACGACAGGCAGCAGGTCAATTCTGGGCGTACTGGCTTATCCTCGATTTTAGGCTGGTCCCTGCTGTAGCTCACTCCTTGTCAAAGGCCGCACCATAGTCGAGAGCCTGTGTGGATGCAATCGCTCTGCAATGCTGTCCTTGATATGTTTCGAAGGGCTGCCGATCGCGCACTCTTCTGCCCACGCGTCCTTCTGGACGCTCGGCTCAGTGGTGGTGGCGGTGTCAAACAACTCCTTGGTCTCGGCGTACGAACACACTAGTCTCGACAGGCCAGGCGCAACTCCTGGGAAGTCTTGAGAACGATGAAGAGGGATTGATTGATTCCGAGCCGAGTCCCTCCTAACTCCCAACTAGTCTTTCCTCACCGCTCCTCAATCCTCCTCGTTTTCCTTCTTCCTCTCCCTGCCATGAGCCACAGGGTCTCGCGGAAACGGGCCCTGGCTCCCAAAGCTTCCACTTCCACCCTGGGGCCGGCCCTTCCTCCTAAATCGCTGCTTGACGGCCCGTGTGTCACAATGTCCCAGGAAGGGCCCCCTGCAGGGCCGAATGCAGCGGAAGATGCTCAGGACCCCCTTCCCCCAGCCATGGGCCCTCTTCTCCTTCTTCCCCCCCCCTTCTCCTCCTCCTCCTCCTCCTCCTCCTTACGCTGCTCTGACTGAAGCCGGCCAGAGCCGCAGCATCTACAGATGGCAAGGATAATGCGACTTGGGCGATGTGGCTTCAAACTTCGGCCTCCTCCTCCTAACCGTCGTCCCTCGCCCGGTTGTCACTTTCCTTGTCCTCTTCTTTCTTCCAGGTCCCCATCGTGGGGAGGAGGAGCAATTGACGAGATGAGGAGGAGGAGGAATTGAGGAGAGGAGGAATTGAGGAGAGGAGGAGGAGGAGGAGGAATTGAGGAGGTGAGGAGGATCCGACGTCACGAAAAAAAATCAACATCGTCAGAAATCACAGCCAAGGCCCGGAGCCCAATCTTTCTGCGACACCAGGATCTCAGGGTCGTCGAAGCTGTCCGCGCGGACCTCAGAACACGTGTGTTCACGCGTTTTTGGGCTCTCTGAGAGACGAGGGGGGACAGAGAGGGAAGGAGGGAGAGGGGGAGAGGGAAGAGGAGGGAAGGGGAGCAAGGAGGGAAGAAGGAAGAGGAGGGAAGAGGGGAGGGAAGAGGAGGTAGAGAGGGGAGAGGAAAGAGAGGGAAGAAGAGGGAGATGCGCAGCGCAACGAGAAGCATGGTGCTCTCGTATCCCTAAGCTCCGAAACTGGGGAACCCAAAAAGCACTGATACCGCTACTCTTCCGACCTCTCCAGGGTTGCGTTCTGACCAGGATCTCGAGGCGAATCCAACGGTGGCGACGTGGGCAAACGAGGGAAACGAGGGAAAGGTAACGGCATCAGTACCTTTCCCTCCTCTGAGAGGCGAGGGCGGGGGGCGACACGACGGCGGCAACGGCCGCAATGCAGCACGGCCCCCCCGATCGGCTCGTTCACCCATAAACGATGGGCGGCTTCTACACCGCCAGATCGCTCCGTATTGGCCGACTCAAGGCCACCGGCGGCGCTCAACCGGGGGCGACACGACAGCGACAGCGGCCGCCGTGCAGCACGGCCTCCCCCATCGGGTCGTCCACCCATAAACGATCGGCGACTTAAAAACCGCTGGATCGTTGGTCAAGCCAGATCCCGGTCAATCAGGCTTTGCAAGATCCTGCAAGATCCAGCAGGATCCTGCACCCAAGCCCGGGTCAATGCAGCCCTGACCTGCAAGATCCTGCAAGATCGGGCGCTCTGGCTGATCCACGTTTGCATTGCCCCCTGTCGCGGATCGCCAACATGTGCTTCCGTGCTGCTCGAGGTGGACCTCGTCGTGTGATACCCACTCACATGACGGTGACATGGGGTTGGTTCGAGGTTTTTGCTCCACTGGATGCTCCTGCGTGTCTTCCTGGTGTTGCTCGTGTTCTTCTTTGTGGAGGTGGTGTCGGCCGCACCGCACCCGCCTGTGGTCAATCCTCGCCGGGGGGGGGGGGGGAACACAACATTGAGCCCCGAGCATTGGCCGACTCTGGGCCACCGGTGGCGCTCAACAGGGGGTGACAGGGGGCGGCAGCGGCCGCCGCAGGGACCCCCCCCCTCCTCCGACAGACGAGGGGGAGAGGAGGGAGGTTGGAGGAGGGAGGGGGGCGGAGGAAGGAAGGAACACGAGGACGGAGGAGGGAGGAGCAGCAGAGAGGCGACACGGCGGCGGCAGCGGCCGCCGAAGGGACCCTCGCTCCCTCGGGGCGCCGGGCCCCCGCAGGTACTTCAGCGACGGGTCGCTCGGGCCGGCCTCCGCGCGCGCGGCGGCCCAGCGGCGCCCGCCCCCGCCGCGGCCGCGCGGCTCCTCCTCCCCCTCCGGCCCTGGGAGCTTCCGGCCGCGGCGACGAGGGACAGCCAGCAACAGGGACATGTTCCCTCCTCTGGGAGCGCGGAGGAAGAGGAGGGCTACTAGTAAGTCCTTTCGGGGCGAGCGAGCCGAGATTTTGGGCCTCCAGCCCACCCACTAGGTTCCGAGGGCTTCGCAGCCCCAACCAACCGACCACGACCCCCCGCAAGCAGAGGGAGGCAGGAGGAGAAAGCCAGCCAGGCAGGGAACCGCGCAGCAGCACGCAAAGAGAGGAGCCAGCGAGGAGCAAGAGGGGAGGAGACGGAGGGGCGGCAGCACACACGGCAGGCACGCATCGGCAAGGGGGGACGGGTCCACTACCTCTGCACCCTGGGCCGCATCCGGGGAGGGGCAACTAAACGTGCGGTAGAGTTGCAAAGCGCATCCCCCCACCCGAGATTCCGAAAATGGCACAGGATTTCCCTGGTCGTGTGGGGGGGGGGGGGCGGGCTCCACGGCGCCCAGGCGGATCGAGGGGGGAGGCGCAGACGAGGAGGAGAAAGGGTTCGCCTGGGCGCCGCGCAGCGGTGCGTCGTGCGCCGCGTCCACGGGGCGCGTCCAGCCCTCATCCGCTGTGCGCCCAGCGCCAGCAGCTTCGTGAACGGCTTCTTCAGGAGCTGTAGCTTCATCTCGATGGCATTCCCCTCCAGCGTGTCGATCCGCACGAATGCCAGTCGCCATCCTCTGAGCTGTCAGACCCAGCTCCTCACGGCCTGCTGTGCCGCACTCTCCTAGACGTCGCCCAGGTACGTATTGAAGATCCTCTCTCAGTGCGACATCGGCGCCACTCCGTGCTTAACTGTGGCTCCCAGCAACTCCAAGCCGGCGTGCAACGGTTGCAACATGTCGAGCCTGTTGATCGTGATCCCTGCCTCCGTCTCTTTGAGCGTCGCCTGCACCTTGACCAGACTGAAGGTTTCCGCCGCCATATTCGGCGTGATCTCTGCGATTTTTGTCTTCAACGCCTCTCGGTCCTTCTTGTTATTCTGTCCTACCGCCGTGCCCCGAGAGTCGCGGCCCTCGATGGTGCCTACCGCGGCAGCGCGGCTGAGCGTGTTGAGGGTCCCCTCGATCTCGTCTTCCTAGTTGCGCTGTCGCATCTCCTGCGCCTTCTCGATCCACGCTTTCGCTCGTCCTTGCGCCTTCACCACTGGCTCCGTGTTCGCCCCGATGATGAGCGCCGTTAGTATGGCAGCCTCCACTTGCCTGCTTCCCAATGCCCGGTTGAGCGCCATCTTCGTCAGTACTGGCACTAAAGTCCGCAGCTGCTCCACGCCCATCTTCTCGAGGTTGTCGATTTCCTCATGCGCCACCACTCGGTTGTTCTGCTTGTGGCCACGCGTCTTGCCACGGCATTCTGACTGCTCGGCGTCGCCTCCTTCTTCTCGTTGACGCCTTCGTCCTGCGCGTAACTCTATCGTGGTGTCCTTGGCCGCCTCTGGGACCTGGTCGAACAGGCCCCCCATGTCGCGCGCGGGCGGGAGCGGAATGCCCCACTTGAACTCGGGCAGCGGCCGCGGGGGGCGCGTGGCCAGGTGTGCCCAGAGCCCCTCGAACCCCTCATGAGGCTCCAGGTCAGGACACAATGGGCGCAACCGTTCGAGAGGATCAATCACTGGGTGGTTCTAGGGTGATGCGTCGGCTCGGCATCGTCCATACTCGCATGCGTACTGTAGGTGTCTAACTTTCGTCTGTCTATCCTTGAACGCGCTCCTGCAGGTAACGCATTGATTCGCCATCGTGATCCGTTCCGTCATCTTTTGAACCCCGTGCTGTCCACCCTCCGCCTGGCGCCGGCGAACGAGAAGGGCTCTTTTTGCGCGGAATCGCTTCTGGCACGGTAAACAGCCGCCGTCGCGCAGCTCGCACTCGTAGTCTCCGCCCGCGCGCCCGCCAGGTTCGGGCCCTGGCGGAAGTGGCGGCGGCGGTGCGTCGCGCATTCTGGCCAGCCACTCGCTGCGAAACTGTCTGGCTTCAAGCAAATTGAAGGCTGCGTTGACGTCGCTCTCGACGTCGAACAGACTCGTGTAGTCGCAGTCGATCAGCTCGGGGGGTTGCGCCCTCTCCTCCGTCGCGTGAATGTAGTCGACGTCCTCTCTGAACTACACCGCCCATGGGTTGAATCTAGCTGTGATCGGCGGCGTCGTCGCCGCCGCGGGGAACCATGCGCTCTCGGGCACTTTTGCCATCTCCATCTCCAAGTCGCCGAAGACTGCTGCTATCTGCTGCCTGTGCCAGTCGGGCTTCCACGATAGAGCCCGCCATTATCTGAATCGTTGCGCCCGTAGTTCCACTGCTGTCGGAAACAATCCCAGTCGGAGCCATCTGTGGCGCGGGTGGCGCGCGCGACCTCATGCGCGCCTCCGCTTCCATCGTCAACTGGCACGCGAACCGCAGACCCGTCCGGAAGTACTCGTCCGAACTTGCGGCGCAAGAGGTCCAGCTTGTCGTGCTGCGCTCTGCGGAGCACCAGTCCGGTGAGGCCCGATGTGGCGGCGCCCAACGCCGCGCTCGTGAACGCGATCTCCTCGATCTACCACTGCTTGCCCTCCGTCCAAAATTTCTTCATGTCGCGCCGCCCCCTGCGTGCTGCAGCGCGCCGCGCTTCGATCCCATGCCAAAAGATGCCACTGCGCGTGAAGATGGCGCCGGGCAGCGCGGCCTCCTTCAGGATGGTGCCACGGGCGCCGCCGTCCATCATGTCGCAGAACGCGCGGCGGTTGCATGCGTGCGCTCCTGGGCCAACGTAGCGTGGGAGCACCGCGTTCTTGCCTTGGCTCTGCGCAACCCCGATGCCCCGTGGCGCGACGTCGAACATCTGGTCCGAGCGAGTACATGATGACGTCGCGCGCGTTGAACGGGCCCATCGCACGGCGCGCATTGCCCGCGTCGTCTGCGAAGACCCGCAATGCCAGATCCTCCATCTCGTCGGAGAGCGGGTAGCTGGCGAGGAGCTCGCTGGGGCACTTTTCGCGGTGGAGCTGCCGCCGATGGCGCGCTGGCACGGTAGAGGCCTCCGGGTAGACAGCCGCCGCGTTGGAGTCGCCCATGTAGTTGCCCTCTGCGTTCTTCATCGCCATAATCTCGCCCTCGGCTCTATCTTGAAGCATGCCCGTCGGTGCCGCTGACGCAGTAGTTCAACGTCGCTGTCGCGGTATAGTCGTCGCGCCGCTCCGTCAAGTTGTGCGCGTCTTGCCGATGCAAAGGCGTTCTGCATGTCGTGTTTGGCATCCACTGTAGAGACTCGGTGGTGGCGCGTCCTCCAACTCAGGCATGCTGCGGCGCGCAGTGCTCCTGTCCTGGAGCGCTGGGGGGGATGGCCGCAGTCGCAGTCAGGCACTCGTCGGCCGTTGCGCTGCGCCGCCTGGACCCAGAGCTTGCCGAAAGGGCAGAGGCCGTGCAGCAGGCGCATAAACTTCGTTCCCTCTGTATTGAAATGTTTGCTGACCTGGTAGGTCTTGGGCGCGCCCCAATGCGCGACGAGACGCTGATGCTGCCGTGCACGCGCTAGGACCCCTACCAGCCAATGCCGAGAGTGGGGTGGATCTTGGAGCGGGTCACCAGCGCCCAGCCCCGTGGCGCGCGTCGTCGCGGTCGGCCTGGCCGGGAAAACAGATTGACCACATCTCCTCAATAACCGACCAGGGTGCTGGCGCTCGTCGTCCCTTGCAGCTGCGCAGCGCGAAGCAGATCCTCTGGCTGGTAGTCCTCTACTCCCTCCTCGAAGTCCTTGTGCGTCGGCTGGCTGGGTTGGTCATCCTTGCTGGCGTCCGGGATGAAGTCAAAAACGTCGATCTCGTGTGCGCCCGCGCCTCCATTTTTCGCGGGCTTCGCCATGTCGGTCCCCCACTGTTCTGCTGTCGGCGTGCATGCTGCTATCACCTTGAAGTCCGCCTACTTGGTCCGACCCCTCCTCCAACTATCAACGCGCAGCTGCGCCGTTACGTTTGTGCTTGTCCCCGTGTATGTGCTTCATCTAATCCGTCGGGTCGTTGCTGATCTTGTATTTCCGTAGTTCCCGTAGTCTTTGCGTTCGCATCCTTTTGCGTTGGTTCGCGAGGCGATGCACCTGCAAGATGGCGCCCGTGTCCTCAGTGATGGACTCGCGAGCTTCTCCCCTCCGACGTAGTAGTTTAACGCGGTCCGCTGCCAGGTCTGGGTATTGTCGTGGCGCGGCCTTGGCCGTGGACTGGTGCGGCTGTTGGCCTTCTTCCTGCAGTATCTTGACCAGGTTCACCTATGCCCCCTTCATAGAGCCGTACGCGGCCAGCATGCCCTGTATGTCGTTGTAGTCAGCCTCTTCCACGCGTGCACCCAGTACTCGTTCGATGGCTTCTCGGAGTGGGGTTGCCGCTTGCTCGCTCTTCAGTGCTTCAACCATCTTGGCGCAGTCCCAGCGCGGAAAAGGTGGCGCTGTCGAATAACCCATGTCAGCGCTGATGTCCATAGTGTACGCCCTGTGGTCTCTGAGCTTCAGATCTGGTATCGCAGGGAAGCGTCTCATAGAGTGGCACGCTTGTCCGAACTTTGTGACTCGTTCCATCACCGTGCGTGGGGTAAGAATGTGGCCGATCCAAGAGACGTGCGTCTTCCCTTCTGGTGCATCCCGTAGAAGCTAGGGCCACAAAAGGTTAACCAATTCCAGAACCACCAAATCGTTATTCTCTGCTGTGTTCCGCAATTTCGTGCCAGAGCAATGCTGCAGCTGCTTCGCGTGCTTGTCGACACTGTCGCTATCCACATCCTGTAAGCCCGTGGGTGCTCCAATCATGCCTATGCCGTCGTTCGCGCCCACTCCGATGGTAAGGGGCAATGCGACCAGGTAGTGCCGACAAGAGTGATGTTGTGAAGTCCTCCAACGCTTGGGCCGTGTTCGCGATGCGATGTTGTTTTCGTCCGTCGCGGCTCTTCGGGCAGAAATATAAGCCAACCACTGTGATGTCGTATGTCTTGCTGCATATCCAGAAAGCGCCCGTTAGTCCCTGCAACGCCATCTGCGGGCTCCATATGCGGATGATATGATTGCTCCTGGTAGTGCCTTCCTTTGTTAAGGAAGGTCGATCTGCCACACGATTTGTTGCCGAGCCTCGCCTTGTTTGTCCAACCGAAATGAACAGCCCTGAAGTGCGGGATGTCCTCGACTGTGTAGCTACGGGGTCTCGCTTCTCTTCTGCGTGCCGATCAGTATGATCGCGTCCGCGGAGTTATACTCGTAGGCTATCTCCAGTTCCCTGTCGCGGTCAGACAGGCTCAGCGGGTTCCATTCCACAATGCGCATCAGCAGCGCGGTTGCAGCAAGTCCGCCAGGCCGCCTGGCGGGGCGCGGGCGGAGGGTGGTGGAGGCCCACGGCGGCTCCAAGACGTCATGACCATAGCGCGGCCGCCCGCGGCGCGACCACGGCCCCGCTCCTGGCATATTTTCAACATCCACATCCAAGACTGCCACCAGCGAGACTGGACTGTAGTGATTTAAATCGCAATTTAAATCCGCCTCACACGGTGAGGTCTTGAATACCTTCGGGGTCGACCCTCAGACTCGAGCTGTAGCTGGGGTAAAGACCTCGAAGCAACCTGCGCCAAAGACACTTCTTTTGTGTCGACATCTTGCGGTCACACCTCCCAAAGAGGTTGGACTTCTTTAGAGACCCAGGACCGACAAAAGAGGCGCAGTGGGTACAAATGTGCAACACTTCACCGTTGTCGCACGGCAGGCCGACCACGAAATGGCCGTTCCTCTCCATCTCCCCAAAATCCCAGTCCCCGCGTTTGCCCGAGCATCCTCTGGGCGGGGGGCGGAGCTGAGACCGAGAGGCCTTGAGACAGATATTGCATCGCCAGCGGCCTGCCACAAATTCCCAAACGTGCAAAGGGCGGACAGGGTGCCCTTCTCGGGCCCGCCCAACAGGGGCTTGAAACACCACTTCTTTCAAATCGAGCCTCGGCCACTTAAACAGGAGAGCCGCGGCCAGTCTGCACACAGTTTTGGCCACGAGCAGCGTCTCTTCGAGGGCCTGGGACTGCTCGGCCGTGGGCTCGTCATGCAGACGCACCCCAGCTTTCGCGGCCTCATCGGCTTGGAAATTCCCTCTCCGAAGCTGCATCTCTCCCTCAGGCACACCCTCTTCTTCGAGAGAGAGGTGGGCCTTGACTTTCTTCACTGATTTTATGTGGTGTGACACTCTCTGACTGTGCAACAAAAGCCCCGCATAGGGCCTCTGGTAGTGTAGCTGCTCACCCAGGGGTCGGTTGGCCTGTACATGAACGTTGGCACAGTCCGTGTACATATCACAGTCACCTTCCACGACTTGGCTAGAACAACCAAAAGCGGCAAACTCCCCAGCTTGCGAGGTTTGGGGGAGCCCCGCATAAACCGTGCCGAAAACTCTGCCTAGGAATCTGAAAGCCCGATCGAAAATCGCAAGACCCCAGGCCGCCCTGTTAAGCTCTGGCACGATACACCTGGTGCAGCTCCCGTCCAAGAACAGTTCCCCCCTCACCATGCCGTCCTCCTCCGTGACATCCTCCTCCCATTGCCACACGGTCTTACACTCCTTGTCTGGCCTCGGCCAATAGTCCCCTGGGTGTGGAAAGATACCGCGGGTAAGTAGGAGTAGGTCTTGGGGGTTTTCGCTGTCCATGTCGTCAACTAGCTTCTGGCACTCGTCTGATACAATCTCTGCACGCTCTTCGGCACATGCCGAGCAACGCCAAAATCTGTGGAGCAGCGTGTCTGGCCCTTGACCGCACAGAGGACACTCCACCGACTCCAACTGGTAACCGAGGCAACGCGCACGAACTCGGGTCCAACTGGCGTCGCAGCCGATCACACGGATCGCCGCCTTGCCAGATGGTGAAACCTTGCTAGAGTGCAGGGACCGCTTGAGCACATCGTAGCACAGGCGAGGGACCTCCAGGACCGATTTTTGGGCAGCAACTCGCTCCAGACTCCGAAGGACAGCTTGACGCAACAATATCTTCAGGAGCCCAGGACTAACCTCCGTCAAAACTAACTTCTCCCCGAAATCGTTTTCCAAGGAGACCCAATCAATCATCTTCCACTGGATCCTCTTAAGACACATGTACATCGCGGAGAAGGGCCCCGTGACATCGACGTGGGCGATGCTTCGGCGCCGTCGGCGTGGCGTGGGCGCTATCGCTCGGACGTCCATTCGCGGTGCATTTTTCGGTTTCGCGCGTGTTTTTGTTTTTTCCGCTAGATGATCCAAGATGCACCTCGCAAGTCCTCGCCGAGAAAAAGTGCACACGTGCGAGCGATCTGGCCGTGGTACTCCTCGAGATGTCCTCCTGCCCCTCCTCCCCAGAGATCCGAAGCCCCGACACACGTTGGAGCGGACGGTTTGTCGCTGTTTTCGGCCTCTGGGGGATCTCGACAGGCCCCGGGCCCGTCGAAGAACGGCTCAGGACGAAAAACTGGCCCCATGGAAATTGTCCAGACCTCCGGAGGTCCACGGATCGAACAAATTGGGGCGCCAGATGTATACGTCCTCCTCCTCATCCTGTTCCTCACCACCTTCCTCGGCCTCCTCACCTTCCCCCTGTCCTCACTTGTCTTCCTCGCCGTCCTCCTCCTCCTCATCCTCCTTCTACTCATCTTCTTCTTCGTCTTCTTCTTTTTGTTTGTTATTCTCCCCTCCCCCTCCCTCCTGTTTCTCTTCCCCGCAGTCCGCCCGCTCCCAATCC